CATCCATGATGAGAGAATCAGGGATCGGCTGCCTCCTGCACGCCCCACACTGGGGATGAGCCTGCAACCGGGCCTGTGCCCTGATCGGGAATCGAACCCTGACCTCCTGGTTCTTAGGTCCGTGCTCAGCCACGGAGCCATGCAGCCAGGCTTGTCCTGATTCTTGATTCTTTGTCCTGGAGCCTTTTCTCCAGGCTTTTCCTGGACTCTCACAGCTCGGACACACGTGTACATGGCCGGCGGGTTTTGCTATAAAGCTTCCGATGTTGCTTAGGTTGACACTATGTATCGTTGGCTGATGCTGTGCTGTCATCATTGCTGATGGTGGTTACCTTTGTTTTTTTTTTAATTATTATTATTTTCAGTAACATGGTGTCAGCCAGATGTTGCTTCTGTAAACTTAACTCTTTTCCACTGCAGTGAGTATTTGGTGGGGAGATACTTTGAACCTGTATGTTTAGATCTTGTTTCAAAGTGTTCATTTATTTACGTCTATATAGACTCTTCGTCCCTTTTATTCAGTGGCACTTGGGGGATCCCTGGCTGGTCCAGTGGATAGAGCGTCGGCCTGCAGACTGAAAGGTCCCGGGTTCGATTCCGGTCAAGGGCACACGCCTGGGTTGCAGGCTCGATTCCCAGTGTGGGGCGTGCAAGAGGCAGCCAATCAATGATTGGCTCTCATCATTTTTTTTTTAATATGTAATTATATATGTGTTTTCTTTTTTTTTTTTAAATCTTTTTTTATTTTATTTTATTGATTTTTCACAGAGAAGAAGAGAGAGGGACAGAGAGTTAGAAACATCGATGAGAGAGATCGATCAGCTGCCTCCTGCACACCCCCCACTGGGGATGTGCCCACAACCAAGGTACATGCCCTTGACCGGAATCGAACCTGGGACCCCTGAGTCCGCAGGCCGACGCGCTATCCACTGAGCCAAACCGGTTCGGCTGGCTCTCATCATTGATGTTTCTCTCCCTCTCCCTCTCCCTTCCTCTCTGAAATCAATAAAGATGTATTTAAAAATAATAACGAACTATCTCTTGGGGGAAACAATCTTAAGTGGGAAAGGAAGCAGGAAGCGAGCTGCAGAGAATATACAAGGCAGTGTGTGTGTCGGGGTGATCGTACGCACACTGGTCGCTGTGGTGGAAGTGAGGCCTGGAACATTTAATGAAATAAGGAGTGTGATGCAGGCGAACCTTCCCTCTTGCTGAGCAGTTTCTGTTCCTGCAGTGCCTGCTCAGATAGAGCAAGTGGCCTTTGGTTTCTTTTGTTCCTTTGTTTTTTTGCTGGTACTTAATGTTTTCGTTTAAGAGCTTAAATCACCATGAAAATGAGCTTCTTGAGTGAGTTGGGGATGAGTCTTCCTGGAAGAAATAATCGATGTTTCACAAATGACTGAGCTGAAAATGCGAGAGCATGAGTGAAAAAATGAATGAGAGGTGGAGGGACTCGGAATGCCAGCACTGACCGACCGGAGTGGGGACGGGGGCAGCCGCCGCCGGGACGGGGGTGAAACTTTAACCCCAGAAGCACTCCTGGGTTCCTGAGCTCTGATCCCAGTTAATTTCCTCCCTGCAGAACGTCCACATCTTGCCGCAGACCGTCCTGTACATGGCCGATTCGGACACGTTCATCAGCCTGGAGGAGTGCCGGGGTCACAAGCGAGGTGACTATCCACAGGCCACCTCGTGGGTGTTTCTGTTTCCTTCCGTGTGTTCTGTTTGTGGAGCATAGTGACCTCCATCTGGGGTAAAAACTGCTGTTTAAAACGCTAACCCTGCTATTCTGGCTTCCGAAGACATTTTCTTGCTTAAATAACGGGGAAAAGTAAGACGACTCCCCACTCCAGAGAGGCCATAAACTCTGCCCCAGACAGAGCTGTCAGTGCTGACACCGGGCCGGGCCTCGAGATCCGGTCTCACGGCCCTGTCCCAGCAAACACGACTTTTTCTCAAGAAGGTCCGGAGGTCTCGTTCCAAATTTGGAAAACAAAGAGCTGAAAAACGTATAAATTGGAAAGACTTCCACCATATTGGGCCCCAGAATCTGAGAAGCGAGAGTTCCCCTGGGCCCGCTAGCGCTAGCGAAAATGAACGGGACTCCCAATAAACTTGGCTTATGGATTAAGGCATCTTCCGATTTACAATATAACATTTGCAGTTCATTGTCGTCTCTGTCCCGAGAGTGACTTTAGTTCCCGAGGCTCTGGGCCTGCTCCCCATGGGATGCGGGACGGCGTTGCCTGTGAAGGGCTGTTTTTGCTTCAGAGATTGGTTTCTGAACCTGGCGGGACCCTGGCAACAAGTTCTTTAAATAGAAAAGTGTTTTTTCCTCATTTTTAAATACTCCCATCCTCCAGGCACTTCTTTTTATTACTGAGACAGGATGTGTGTCTGTGGCTATTCAAGCCTTTTTGTTGTTTGTTTTCTTTTTTTTTTTTATTGTCGTAAGTTTATATGTCTTCTTCTTTTTCCCCGATTGAACCCCCGCCCCCACCCCCTCCTCTCCTGCC